AGGTCCAGGATATCCACGATGAGAACGAGACCTCTGTGATGCGATGGTGAAGCCTTTGCTTGAACTCTTTCTTGGTCCCCAAGACCCTGGTTTGGGCTTCCAGATTCTCCCAGTATTAACTGAAGAATCTGACTGTGTCAGCCTGGCCTCCCTATTGTTCGTTTCATTTTCCTGGTTTTTTCTTGGATAATGAATTCCCCTAAGGAGCAGGAGACACATGGTGCCCATTTCTGGTCCTAAAGCAATTCGTGTGCCACAGAGCCTCGACAGTAGACAAATTTTACATTATAGGGTGGTGATTCAGTTATAATTCCATATGCACTCTACTAGAGGTACAGTTTGCAACCTTCTCTACACTGGAAAGCATGGAAGGATTCATGAACTAGAATTCTCTATTTGTGACATACCGGATGTGCATCTGTATGCTGCACACTCAGGAGTAGGACTCTGCTCACAGTTGAACTGCAGGGAGCTACCATGACCTCTATTCAGCAGTCTCCGAAAGTGGATCTTATCTGACTGGATAGGTTCAGTGCATTTCCCCATTAATCTTCATGTTGGTCAACTTGAGATGATCACTTCTGTGAAGTGAGAGCTATCAGTAGTACCCAGCCCTCCCTCCAAGCACTAGATGAAGCCAGACTTGTTGAATTTCTCTTTTGAATTCTGATCTCTAAACACCCTTGATAGATGTACTGATGCAGGTTCCTACTGCTTAGCTTCCTGAACTCTGCTGCCTCGCCTGACTCAAAAGAAGAATTTGGTATTTCATATTTCTGCCATTTTCCTATGTTGACCCCAAATTTACATTGAGTTGAAACTTTTAGCTTGCTTGTAGAATTGCAGGAATTTAATTAATGCAAGGCCTGTTATATTTCCAAGGTCTCTTTCAATTCCTCACCTGTATCCAAGAGTTCTAGCAGCCTCTTGGAGGAGGTGCATTCTGGATAACTTGGTGACAAATTAGAAAATAGTGGGACTTGCTCTTTTCTTGTCTACATCTTGTGCAGTTAAGAATGGAGTTCTCACTAGAGCGGATGCTTGGGTCTTCTTCAAGGATTCCTGGTTGATTCAGCAGGGGTCTTGTAATGCATTCAGGCATTCCTTAAAGGCCTATGTTCACTGCTAAGCAAATTTATTCTATAAGATTGCCTACATGATCCCCGGAAATATACCAGGCAACACAATAGAAGCAAGAAGTGCTCAAAGAGGAAGCTGATTATCAGAAAACCCATGTAAAGGTTGAAGAAAGAGTACAAACTCCTAAAAGGTTTGGAGGAAGAAATTTCCTGAGATAAAATATTCCTGAACCAGTGCCAACCACCTGCTTCCTCTAGCTCTTGTGGTCTTCAGTCGAAAGCGGGAAACCATTTGTTAAGCAGAATTGTGGGTGGGAATGAGTTGCACTAGCATTCGACCTTATTATCACTGTCCTGGGCAACAGGTCCCATCTCGAGCACAGTGATTCCCACATGAATGTTCTTTCATGGTCAGTTTTCTTCATATACAACCAGCAAGTCTGGCTTGGCCTCAACATTCAGTGATTCTTTTCCTCCAACTCTTTTTCTTTTATTCCTTCCCTTCACAAACATTAGTTCTCTTATAACTAAGGACTAATTTCAAAGCTTTATCTGTATGTGAGAGGGTGGGAGGAGGCAACAGTCATGTTTAAAATATAGCAAAATTTTTTGTGTGCCAGTCCCAAATTAATCAGCCTAGAGACAATGTGGGATCAGTAACTAAGACCTCTGGATGATTTTGTAGAGTGACTTCTCTGAGTTTGGTTTATGATTGTATATATGTAATCTCATTCATTCCGCCAGCCAGCCAAAAATATTTTACCTACTTACGATATGACTGGCTTTATGAACTCAAAAATGAGATTTTTATTTTGGAGATGTTGTTCTAAGATTTGTGATCACAGCCAATTGTCTCTGTTGTTTCCTAACGTGCTCTTCTCTTGGCAAACCTACCCTGAAATTTCCTGAGTTATTGACTCATCTCTTGTTCTATTGTGGTTAGCTTGAATCTAATGATATCAAGTCCCTCATCTTGGCTCATTATGTTTATTATAGCTTCTGCCAAAACTCACTTCTATGAGCCCCGTGGAACCTGTGATGCTGCTCACAGATAACTCTCACAGCTCATGTTAGCCAGAGTCCTTGATTTTCTGTCAGTGCCCTCAAATCAGCTTGGGTTTCCCTAGGTTTTTGCATTTTTCGTGGTTCATTTTCCAGCAGAAGTGCCAGAGACTGAGAGTTAGATTACAGGAAAATGGAGGTGGAGACCTGATCCGGGCTTTAGGCCTCTGACTAATGAGCAAGGCAGAAGAGCTTACGCATTCCTGCTCCTGTTTTGAACTGTGTGGTAGTCAGATCTGGTTCCCAGGCAAGTTGGCTGTAAACAGTTGAAGTGATAGAGAAAGCAGAGAGTGCTTGATTTATAAACAGGTTGTTTTGTAAAGAGTTTTTTGATGCAGTTCTTTAGAAAGTGGACTGTTTCTTGCACAAGAAATGATGTTAGAGATGCCCGGGAGAGCCAGACAAAAGACATGTTATTATTGATTTTTTACTGCATCTGGGAAAATCTGCTGGATACTTTATACCCAGTAATTTATTTAATCCTCCATCTACCCTGCCAGATGGTTATTATTATTGTTGTTGTTGTTCTTGTTGTCTTTAGCTTCTGAGTAAGGATGCAAGGTCAGGCAGTCAAATGAGTTGCCCAAGGTACCATAGCTGAGAAGAGGCAGTGTCACTCACCGAGACACATTCCACAAGTGATGTTGTATCAGGTGTTCTCCTGGGCATGACTCCTGTGACAAATCCGCAGGGCAAATGAAGGAGCTCATGATAACATATTCCCTTTTACATATCTCTGCCTTTCTTAAATCCTGACTCCTGCTTTCCAACACCTCCAGAGATAGGTCGCAGATGGTTTCACAGAGTATTGCAAGGCACAGGTCTGGGGTGTCCTGTGGTCTGAGCTTAAGTCCCATCTCTGTCATTTGAGTGTACTTGGGTAGGTTACATATACCATGTAAGTTGTAGTTTTGGCAGTTGCAATGGAGAGAGGACAGTTAGAGTAGCTTCTTTCATTCACTGGATTGCTTCTGTGGAGTAGACTGTGGGCTGGACACCATCACGAGGACATGGTCAGCAAGGGGAATGAAGTCTCTGCTCACAGGAAGCTTGTATTTGTGCTGACATGAAAACAAAAAGGAAATCCAGAACCTGGTTAGTAGTGTGGATTGAGTAGGAAAATACACAGAAAGTAGTCAGAAAGGGCTTAGCATGTGATAAAGACTCGATAACTGTGACTCCTTTTCCATCTGGGTGGCAATTTGAAGTCAAATGAATCAATGATCCAGACTCCTGAGTAGGGTTTCTTTCCCTGACTGATTCTTCTACTTCCAAGCACGCTGACTTTTCTGAAAGCTCTGGCAGTTGACAGAGCATGGAGTTTGCATGCTGTGGACCCAAGAGAAGGAGCAGAGCTGCCTGTAATTGCTCACTTCACTGCCTTCTGCTAGGAAGCTTTTGAGCTCTTTGAGGGCAGGGGCTAGTCTCCCATTCCAATGTGTATTTCATATCCTTACACATAGTAAATGCTCAATAAAAAAAACTGTTTGCAAAAGGAAAGAAAGGTAGTAGTTTGTATGTGGACCCATGAATTGCCCTTGGTTGGCTTTTATATTTTCTCCGTTGTACTAAGAGAAGTAGTGGCTTTTGGTGAGGCTGATAGGAGGCAGCCCAAGAAAGAGAGACACAAAAATTCATTTGTCTGAGCTGCTTCGTTTTTCAAGTCAAGGACAGCATCGATCTTCTGTGGCTCCTTAATTATCCTTGTTGGGACTGAAGGCTCATTCTTGAGGCCTGCCAGCGACAACAACTTAATATTGTCATAAGCAGAACAACTTGATGGGCAGCAGAGAGGCCTGCCGTATCTTGGCCAGGGTCCCGATGGTGGGGACTCTTGAGTGGGAAATCACAGTGCTCCTATGGTCCCCCTTCTCATCTGACAGGCAGCTGGGAAGCATCTTGTTCTCGGTGCTGGCATGAACCAGCAGTTCTCTGGAGAGGGATCATACTTAAGAATTTGAGGGTAAATCGAGCTCTGGACAGAGAGTGAGGCTGGGGTACATTTCCTGCATTGTGCAGGACACAGCATGACCTTCCTCATTCACTGGTACAGGGGGCCCCCTGCTCCCCTTGCATGAGCGATGCTTCCAGCTGCCTTCAACTGGATCTTTTCCAAAGTGTTTTCTCGGATAAGCAAGAGAAACACTCAACCCAAGACAAACAGAGTCCAGGCAATGGCCTGCATTCTGTGGAACTTTTGCCTTTCTGATAATTATTTTAACAACAAGCTCATGGCTGTGTATTAAGTTTAAACAATCTTTAAGAACAATCCACATGCATCTGACAGTTGCCAAATCACAAACCCATATATATATGTTTGTATAATTATAAATATTCCTGAAGAAACATCAGTATCTTCTATAGAAAAAGTTACAGAGAGTACAGCTATGAATGTCCTTTTTTGATTAAATTATTTGCTAAAATTTATCCTCATTAGCCTGGGTATAATACTATGTTTGTAACAATAGATTCTTAGGAAAGCAGCAGGTGAGAAAAAGGAAAAAAAAAAACCACACACACACACACACATTGAGTGTATTTTACGCTAAATACAAACTCTATGTTTACACATCATCACTTTGTGTTACATGGTGCATTTATTAACACTCCTCAAATATCTCCTTGAGAATTAATGTTTATTCAGGTTGGTGTTAGTTCCCTTATTGAATTGGAACTCAGTCCCCATTTGAGGCAATTAATTTGCAGCCACCCACTCCCTTGCAGGAAACCCACACACATATGCTAAGTAATGAGCATGACGAGGCCGGGGTTCTCTTTCTTTCCTTTTTTTCTTATCCTCCTTGAGAGGATAAGATTTTCCACTCTCACCCATTAAATAAATGATCTGTCTCTTTGCAGGACAGTGACAACCTCTGGTGGGACGCGTTTGCCACTGAATTTTTTGAAGATGACGCCACATTAACCCTTTCATTTTGTTTGGAAGATGGACCAAAGCGATACAGTAAGAAAGAAGTTTATTTTATTTTCTGTTCTTTTTTTTAATACTTCTTTCATTTTGTGCCTGTAAGAAAACCACAGTGGTCTCTGGAGATAGCCCCGTGCTGACAGTCTGACAATAATACCTCTACTCTTGACAATGTTCATGCTTCTTATCAAGCCTTTGTCACCTGGTGGCAGCCTGAGGTGGCACCCAGTGATTTTCTCGGAGGCTGAGCCTGGTGGGGGCATTTGCCTGTTTAGAGTGGAACAAATATGAACTGAGTCACCCAATAATAAATGGGAGCAGAATGATGGAAGGTTTTCACGCATCTTGTCTCTGTGACCCTCTCGTATCCTGGATGCGTCACTCTTGACATCCAATGTTCTAGTTGTGAAGGTTTCTTTATAATAAAAATTCTTGCCAACACTTTACCAGGCCCATCCTTCTGATCCCCTCTTATCAATTATCTCAGATATTTATTTTGACAAGTGCTATCTTTATGGGGAGGCCACAGCCTCTTTGAACATACAGTTTTTGATTAGTGTTGACAGAATTACAGTTCCTTGTCTTTCCGACGAGTGATAACTCTGTAAAGATCCTCAAATTACAGCCTGTGGCACCTTGGGTAACAGCTGATCTGTCCTGATTAGGTTCAGGCAACTTGTCAGGAATCAGATTTGCTAGTTGTGCTATCAGATCAAGAAGCATAGATACATCAGCACAAAAGCAATTAATGTCCGGTTAGATCAGAGAGAGATGTGCTTTCAGAAATCAGTGTTGCACATGTGAAAGGATCTGACAGAGGGAAAACACAGGCCCTGTCACAGACCCCGAGATGATGACAGAACTTGCCACTGCATGAATGAGTCCATGCAGAGTAGTTGCAATTGATAAGTTAACAGAGCTCTTCATAAACATGATTAAAAGCTCTGATGCTTGCTAACTTTATCTCAAAGTTATCGGGGAATAACTGTTTGTTTGTTTCTTTGTTTGTTTGTTTTTAACTTAAGGGGCCTTTAGACAAGTTAGTACTCTCTGGATGTGTTGCACAACTACCTGATTAATTATACTAATACATGCATGTAGTGATTTCTTAATAGTGGTGAAGTGGACCGCAGGCCATCATGGACTTGTTACCCAAATGAAACTGGTTGCTGAGGGTTTGGTTTAGATTACCATTTCTATTTGTGTGTTGTGAACTTTTGAAGGTGTGGGACAGTTCTAAATCATTATTTTGGGTAAGAGGAGCAAGTAGTATATCAGATAATGTGTTGAGTGCCTTTACATTCAGTAAAATGAGTCCTGTCACCAGCCCTGGTAGACATATTTTATGGCATCCTTTCTTTTCTGTGTGTGTGTGCAACCAATCCACCTCAGCTCCAAGGGCAGTGTTGTAGAAGTCCTGGGAGCAGTCCTGCAATTGTTCCCTCCCCTAAATGCTGTGATGTAGTGAATAATTTCTAACCAGGCAGTCATCTGCTTTCTGAGTCACCTTAGTTTGCTTATTGATTTATTTATTTGCTTATTTTTTGAGACATAGCTAAGATAACTTCAAGTTATCACTGTTTTATGCCCTTGTGTGCTGCCAACTTGGAAATGTATCTGGGTCTGCACAGGGAACTGGAATTATGGTTTTAAAGTCTGTCCTAATAAAACAGACTCTAGCTCTTCCTCTGTCCCCCAGTCCACCCTCACATCAGTTAGAGTGAGCCATGATCAGCATGTAGTGGATCATATATCCATGAACAGGAATAAATGCCCTACCCTGAACCATCATTGCCCAGGTTTCTTTGTTCCTCGGAGCCAAAATATTTCCTAAGTGAAGAAGAGAAACAAAGATGATTGACAGTGTGGAGTGGAGACTCCTCAGCTGCCTCGCTGACAGCCTGGTGATGAGCACAGGCCGCTGATACACGGGCGAGTGACAGCTGATTGACAGCGCAGGACTGGGAGACAGGGAAGCTTGCTTAGAACGCCCTGCTCGCGCTGTTTGTGCAGCTCTGAGTGCAGGGCTGGCACCTTAACCCATTCGTGGTTCAGACAGGCTGTGCCAGTGTAGCGGACGCTCAGGGGCTCAGGGTCTGGAGCTTGGGCTCTTCCTCAAGGCCTCCTGGGGAGCTGCAGGTTTCAAGTTTGTGAGGAGGAAATTAAGACTTGCCTGATAGATTTTATTTGTAAAAAAAAAAAAAAGACAAATTACACATGATAAGAAATAAATATTCTAGATGAGGTTTTTTTTATTCTTTTCTGCCTTCCTTGTATAAAACTGTATTTTCCCTTCCCCCTGTCTTTAGAGGGTCCTTTCAGTTCTAAGATATGAAATCTCTAAGTTACTATAAATTCAGCAATATGTGTTTGCTTATTTGCTTGTTTCCTGACACTCATTTGAATCCTATCTTTGTGTAGATAAGGGTTTTGTTAATTGCTGAATCCTCCGATGAATACATGAGTAGCATGTAATTGGTGGGCAATAAATATTTGTTAAATGAATGAATGAATCAATGGACATTTTGGGGAAAACTGATGTTACTAAATAGAAAGTTAGCAAAACCATCTTTTACTGAGATTTTTGAATGTTTTTAATACTGGTGGAACTTGATCCAGAGTTGGTGATCCCCTGGTATTTTCAGATAAACTAGTCTAACATGTGATTCTGATTATTCTAATAGACAAAAGTCCCAGTAGTTAAATAATTCCAGAAATAATTATGCTTTGAAAGGTTCATTGCTCTTTCCTTTTGAGTGCTCCTGGAGACCCAGCTCTATCTTCTCTGGTTTGTGGGGCTCTTCAGTCTCCTTATGGGAGACCCCCAGGTGGGACATAATTATGCAATGGGAGAACCATGGTGTTATGAGGAGGAGCAGAACAGACAAGGATACTGAACTGCCGTATGTGGATACTGGCCATGTGTGTCTAAGTCATTTGTCTGTCCCTGCCTTGGGAACATCAGAAAGAAGTTTAGTGACTGGAGAAGGTAGCCGTCCCAGGGGGATGGCTTTCCACTTAGACTAGGTGGAATCTCGGGAGGGAAGGGATCATGGCTGGATATTCTTTCATTGTCAGATGGTCAGTAAAGACCAATAGAGCTGAAAAGTATCTTTCCTGAAAATAGAAACTTCATCCAGAGAGGTTAAGGTAGGCACCCAGCTGGGCAATCATTGGGCCTCAGGCATGTTGACTCCAAAGCCAATTGATCTACAGACTTTCACCAACATCTTATCCCGAGGTCACGCCATAGCTAAAGGGAACCAAATAACTTCATCAATGTACACATTTCTGGTAGCAGACATAGGGGTCACAAAAAATCATTGTGCCTTAGTTCAAAAGAGGAGGTAAAAGAAGCCAAGTAGGAGGCCTTCTGCTCACCTGCATTGCAATTCTAAATCCAGAGCAATGAGCTATTGGCTCCTCTCCCCATCTTGGATAAATGGGAGCATTCTTGGGCGAGGCTGATTGCTCAGTGCTCATCTCAAGCAGAATACTGATTTTCCTGTGCTGCTCTGAGACATGTAGCAGAACTGAGCTTCCCACTAGTCCCTTTCTGTGACTGTCTTAACCAACCATCTGGGTGCCATGCTGCTGGTAGATCCCGTGGCAGACCTAACCAATGTCCAAGCCCTCATGGGTCACAGTCTCAGGTAATACATTATTCACATTTCATTCAGGAAACATTTTCTCATCAGGAGAGATGTGTGATGGAAGATTTCTGAGGCCCATGCCAGGCTGGCATTAGAAAGCCTAGGAAGCTGCATGATGCAGGAAGGGCACAAGAGTTCCACATCAAGTGCTGAGTTTTAATCCATGTGGTGTTGCATAGATACAGCCACTGTCATTCTCAAAACAAGTGATAAACAGGAAGAGGGACTATGAAAAGTAAAAGGTAAGTAAGTGTGGCTACTATATTTTGGGTGACAAAAGAACAGAAGAGAGCAGAACAGGACACTTGTTAAACTCTATCTGATCAGCATCAAAAATCAGAAGTGGTGTAACTATTAAAATACCATCTTGCCTCAAAGCAATGTCTATTGGCCTGCCTTTTAGGCAAAGGGCTCTGGGCCTGATGCCTGGGCTCATATTCCACTCTGCCTTCTATTACATATGTGATTTGGAGTAATTTACTCTGGAGGCATCAGTGGTCTTCGAAAAGTGAGGACTTCACAATATGTGGAATGGCCCAAGAGGCATTTTCAGCTCCTTGAGGGTGCTCCATAAATATTAGCTCTTGTTATTCCAATGAGTCCATTGCTCCCTCTAGATCAAGGCCCAAGACAATTCAGATAAAATTCCATTAATCCTTTAACCACTATGTGTAATTTTGGGCTGAGGGTCCTGATAATTCTCTGCCACACATTGTTATTTCATCTTGAACTCTGTATTAGGTTTGAAATAGGATTTCTTGCAGGACCATGCACTATCATGGTCAGACAACCCCAAAGTTATTCTTGGGTCCTGGGAGAGCATCTCACTCCAGAATAAGGGGGGAGGAGAAAAGAAAGCTGATTTAGGAAATATCATTGCTCTCTGTAGCCTTATTTTGCTCAGTCACCCAGACTCATTAGTTTGAAAAAGTACAAATTGAGCTCTCTCCAGCCCATTCAATGCTCTTTGTTACTCTTTTACATTCTCTTCCTCATCTCTCTTTTCTCCTGCAAGCCTGATAGCTTTGCAATATTGACTAAGTTCTTCAATTTTGTCTTGTAATATGTGCTTTTATGTGTTGTGTATTTGGACATGTTCCCCTAAGGTAGAGAAATTCTACACAGCCCAAGTAGTTTCATACCTTTGGTTACTATTTTTCTCATAGTTTTTATTGGTTCAACCCACCTACCTTTATTTTTATTGAGCTTGCCTTAGAAGAATTCTGAAAGCATTTTGCTCATTCTCTCTCTCTCTCTCTCTCTCTCTCTCTCTCTCTCTCTCTCTGCTCTCTAATAGCATAGTACATGATTAAAAATATATTTCTGGGAAAAATGACTCTTTGATAATAAGCATAAGGTACTTTGACACCACACTTAATAACT